TTTCTCTCTTTTAGTCACCCTACTCTTTTCGTTGACTAGTCTGCCTGGTGACAAATTTATCTGTCTAAATTTATTGCCATTTCCCCCTCTTATAGGATCTAATGGAAAGGCTTGTAAACAAATGGGAGGCACTTGCATTGCTAAGGATGCAAAATGCAAAAAATCCATCAGCAAAGCCGACTGTAGCAATGGTCAACAGTGCTGCGTGAAACAATGATGTGCAGTGCATGTTTCTTAACCTCGACTACCTGAAAAAAGAGATGGATCTTCAGTCGGGGAAGCCAAAGAAGCTTATTTCTGCTGAACACAGATAAAGCAGTGTATTCCACTCAATAAAAACATGTCAGAAATACAGGTGTGAAACTCATTTTTAAAATAGGTTTTGCAAGATATGATTCCATCCCAATTACATTTTAGAATGTTCCTGATGTTTCCTGCTCACCTTTGAGCTTTCTCAAAATCGAAGTGACAATTGTTGTGGTCAAGAAGCTTCCAACTGCATTTTGGAATAGCTGTCTTAGCAAAATAGTTTTCAAAGGCACTACTGTAGTCCAGTTTGGAGACTCTGAGAGTGTGATTGATCATGGCCAGTGTTTTGATCCAGACAAGAACATGGCTCAAAGATTGTCCCCATGCACCTGATGTCACTTATATCCCCAGTGACACAGCTGGACCCAAGAGGCCCCTTGAGCTGGTCTGAGAGGTTTAACCATATCCAGACATGAACTCCATGACCTTGGCTAGATGAGTACTGAGACAGGGGCAAAAAAGGATCAAAGACTTCTGAGCACCAGAATTGCATGGACCTCATGGTTCTCCCACGCACACAAAACCACTTCTGTTTACCAAAGAAGCCAAATACAGTGGTGCCTCGCAAGACGAAATTAATCCGTTCCGCGAGTCTCTTCGTCTTGCGGTTTTTTCGTCTTGCGAAGCACGGCTATTAGCGGCTTAGCGGCTTTAAGAAAAAGGAAACAAACTCGCAAGAACTCGCAAGATGTTTCGTCTTGCGAAGCAAGCCCATAGGGAAATTCGTCTTGCGGAACGACTCAAAAACCGGAAAACTCTTTCGTCTTGCGCGTTTTTCGTCTTGCGAGGCATTCGTCTTGCGAGGTACCACTGTATAAGGTATTTATTCCACCAGTATCACTTAGGAGTTTGAATCCCTGGTCAATTTCCTGCAACGCATCCAGATCCAGTAGATCCAGCCTATCTTCTCTCCTCCCGCTGCTCAAAAACTCCATCTTCACCTGACTGAGTTCCAATTTAGACCCCTTTCCAATTCATTCACAATTCAAGGCACCAGCGTAGCACATTCACTGTTTCTCCTCAAGTGCAATGAGCATTGTCAGGTTATGGGCAACCTTCACCAGAGGCTTCTTGTTGAGAAGGCCAGGTGATGTCCTCTCCAGACTGGACATCTAAACGTACTGCATCCATATTGTGGAAGACATGAACCTTTTAAATCCTTGAAATAATTGGAAAATATATCACAACATGCTTCCAGGGCTTCACATGGTCAGGCACCCCTTGTAGGCTCAACAACAGCAGTTGTCACCATTGGAACCTCGGCCAGTTTTGGCAAGGCACAAGAGCCTTTCCCACTGGAGATCACTGAACTTGACTATATTCCCTAATCTACATTGCAGCCAAATATTCCCACAACCCATTCCAGCCATTGGGGACAATCTCCCACCGTACCGCAATGAGCCTCTGGTTGTACTTGTGGCTTCTTGGAAAGTTCCTCCACCTTAAAAATAAACAAAAACCTTTTGTGTTGCCTCCCTCTTGTTGCAATGCAGATTTGCTCTCTCACTAGTACCATTAACTACTTGTGAGTCGGGTTGAAGAAAGAATCCAGAAAGTTTATTTACTGCAGTAAAGTGTTTCAGCGGGATTGCTCCACAAAGGCTGGAACACCACCCCAAAGCAAATGTGTGTGTGTTACTTACAGGTATATTCCACAAAGCATTAAGATTTCCTTCAATCATGTGCATCATCACCTCATTCCAGGAAGTATACAAGATGTCGTTAGCAAGAATTTATTTAGTTACATTTCATTTTAGTGCACCTGCGCTTCTAGCATAAGCATATTCGTATTCAGGTCGTATTCATTTGCTGACATCACTCAACATTTACTGTGCATAAGCATAACCTTCGCATGGATACATTTTGTAGCAAAAGCTCTTGTGGTTTGTAATGTGTATGCTGTGAACCTGTGTGTGTAGCTGTGTGTATGGCTATTGTGTTTTCGTGATAAGCGTTTTAGCTCCTCTCTTCCCATGGTGGGGGCTCCATGGAAAGTGAAATGCTTTCTCATCAATTTCTTAAAGCGATAGGCTACTATAAGTTCCTTTTCACAGTCACACGCAGGGGTCCACATTATCACAATTTTGGGGGCCTTGCCCCTCCATATTCCCCCATTTCAAGCTACAGTTGTTGAGGGTGGGGCTTCCTTCCACCACTGTCAACTTGACAATCCTAGGCCACTAGATGATACAGCAAAAATAATTGCCTCGTTAGCCACCCTATTTTCACCCAAAGGGGTGTAAATGCTATTGCCCTATTTGGATTGGGGCTGCTGGTGGTTGTGCTTGGGGATTTGGAGGGTGAGGCCAAGGTAATAAAACTCTTTCATCCTCTAGGAGCAAAATCTTTCCACCTCCCTGTATCCTGAGCCTTCTTAAAGCAACCCACGTGGTCACCAGAACACTGCTTGGAAGGGGTGGTGGTGTCGCTATGGAATTTGCACAATGTGGTGGACATTCCCTCCCATTCTCTTACACCTGATGACTCCTTAAGCTTCCCCTTCTGCGTAGAATGACCAGCTTCCGGGAATGTGGTTGTAGCATTGGACCACTGTCTCGTTGCCCGTGTCCTGACCCACTCCAGGGTGGGGCCAGACTCAGGGGTTCCATTGGTGCAGTTTTAACCTTAAGTCAGAGTCTGGGTCCTTAGCACACGTCCATGTGCCTTCAGACCTTCTTATGCGAAGGTGAACCCTGGAGGAACCCCTGCAACTTTCAACAGGATGATAAATGGACTTCTCCAGCATGGTGCCAGTGGTTCATCCTTCACCTCCTTCACCCCAAATCTTGTCACCTTGCTGGGACTGGTGTGCTGTTTTCAAGAGTCCTATATGGGGCTCAATCCAGGACCCACTTGTGGAGAGAAGACAAAACAGGAGAGAGAGAGAAAGACTGCACTTGTTTTCGTAATGCATTTTCCCCTCTACCAACCCACTGTCGGTTGTACAGTATAGACCGCCAATGTACATATTATAAATACCTGTAACATCAGTTGTGAGTGAGTGAGGGGCATCCTAGCTTCATGCAGGGAAGACTGCGGTGTGTGAGTGAGGGGGGTGGGTCCTAGCTTCATGCAGGGGAGGCTGGGGACAAAGGGGAGGCCAGCCTGTTGAGCGCCCAGGGCGGCATTGAACTGCACCTCCCGGTGCCACGTGCGGGCAAGACGGGGCGGCATAGCTGGCACTCTCCCGCGTGCTATGCTTTCGGGGGCAGCAGAGGCTTTTTGGAGGGGGATTGGGGCCTGAAGGGGGTGTGCAGGACAGGCAGTGGCCTTGGCAGGCTTTGCCAGCAGCCCGGAAAGTCGGCCTATGTGAATAAAATGAGACTAGGCCGAGTAGATTCGCCCTTGCCTTGCTTTCGCCCCGTCCCCAACCCAGCTGGCCAATCAGCTGTGGGCAGGGGGCAGGGCGAAGGCAAGGCAAGTCCTAATCTACTCGGCCTAGTCTCATTTTCTTCACATAGGCTGGCTTTCCAGGACCTGGGAAGCCCAGTGGAGGGTAGGGCAGTAGGGAGGTTCATAAAAAAACTTTTGTTTGAAATTGCCTGCTCCAGAAGTCTTACTTTACTAAACTAGGGATTATATAGCTATATCTGAAATTTCATGCATATCAGTTAATATCTTGACCCCGCTCCACTGAATTGAAATTTCAGCCTTCACGACATAGGAAAAAAGCCAAGTAAACAGCTGTTTTCATGGAGGAGGTATGAAATGGAGGTATGCCATGAAATGGAGGTAGTGGCCAGGAGGGTAGGGGAAGGAAATTTGCTCCTGATCACAAAAATCCCAACTCTCCTATTTTAGGAGCCCAGGACACATCAAGAGAGACATATTAAGGAAAAACAGGACATTCTGGTATCAGATAAGAAATTGGGACAGCTTCTGAAAATCTGCTACTGTCCCTGGAAAATAGGGACACTTGGAGGGTCTACAATATTTGTCGGAAAGGAGGCTGGGCCCCCTCAATGTTGAGGGGAGGAGGAGGCCAAGCACGGAGCAGAACATGGCTCAACTTCAGTGGCCGGCTCCTCCAGAGCCCTTGACCTCCTACCAGACAGTGTGATGTCTCATGCATAAGTTGCACGCCAGGCCCCCTCAATCTTGGGGGCAACTTGGTGCCTCTGATGTGGGCCTGTATAGGCCATCAGCCTTCCTAGTCCTGGTCATATTATTCCACTCAACCAATTTTACAACCCACTGAATTCTGAAGATTTCATCAGGTTAATGCACTGTTCAGTATTTCCTTGCTTTGGTACAGTGTGTCTTCTGGAGTGGTAGCAGTCATGGACCACAATACCCAAAGCAGGAAATAATATATAGACAGAAACTTTCAAAACAATAAGTGCTATAGAACCACATGAGTGCATACCATGCTTAATGATATGAATTTTACTTTCTGTTCTTTGAATATTATGGCTTTCTGAAGAATAATGTGAAATATATATGGTGATTAACTTTTGGGGTTCTTCTTGGTGAATAGATTTTGTCATCACGTGTATCATGCCAGTTCATCCATGCAGAGGGCTTACGTGTCAGTATATCACGAATCCCTATAAATTGTTGGGCATTCAGAAGACACAGAACTCTCACCAGAGCATTCTGCCTCTTGCTGCTCAACTTGAGACCTGAGTCAAGCTTCAACAATGCAATTGCGCTGGCTCTTCATGGTTGCCCTTCTGTTTTCTGGGATGATCATGTTTTCTGCAGGTAAAACATACATTGAAATTAAAAACATTCGGACATAAATGACAAAAAAAAAGGGGGTTGGAAGTCATGTAGTACCACCGGTCCCATCCATGAGGCAGACTGAGGGAGGTGCCTCCTATGCCACTGGAGAAGCGAGCAGAAATGGATGAGGAAGTTTCTGGTTTCCAGAGAGATCTCATGGGAGCCCCTTGAGATCTCAGTGGCATGTGGAAGCGGCAGCTGTGCAACCCTGGTAAGCTAGGCTTTGGTGGGGGCGCACAGCATGGGATGCCATCCTCCCTTTTTGCCTTTTTGTGTTGAAATAGGATGGGCTGCCCCTGTACATAGACATATATTATAAATATATGTTCATTAATTTAAAAGCTAACCTGAATTTCTAGGACTGCTATTATGCCATGGTTATATTGAACCTGGGACGTTGAACCTTGAAGAGAGAAGTTTGTTCCTTAGAAATCCAGACCTCAATGCTCTGGCACTGAGCTATGGCACTTCTCTGTAATGGGTGCTAAATTGAACAGCTCAGGGTCATTCTTCTTTTTGCCCTTTTGCCTGATCACAGTTCATAAGAGAATTGATAAATTGTTCTTCTCCACCACCTCCTCTACTTGCTTGCTATTTCACATTCTTCTACCTCAAGGAGTGTCTCCACCCCCATTGTTCAACCCAGACACTGAGGTCCAGCTCCAAGGGCCTTCTGATGGTTCCCTCACTGCAAGATGTGAGGTTGCAGGGAACCAGGCAGAGGGCCTTCTCAGTAGTGTAGCCTACCCTGTGGAACACCCTCCCATCAAATGTCAAGGAAATAAACAACTATCTACTTTTAGAAGACATCAGAAGACAGTCCTGTTTAGTGAAGTTTTTAATGTTTGATGTTTTATTGTGTTTTTAATATGGGGAAACCCATAAAGATGGGCGGTGCATAAATTATTATTTATTATTATTATTATTATTATTATTATTATTATTATTATTATTATTATTATTAAACATTCTTAAATTTCAAGAAACAACATATTGTAGTCACACCATATAGGTAAATATACACATATTATAAATACCTTTAACACCATTTCAAAAAGCATTCCAAATTTCAACATTGAAAGGGATGATAAATTGGACCTCCCCAGCATGGTGCCAGTGATTCATCCTTCAACTCCTTCAAGCCAAAGCTTGTCACCTGACTGGGACTGGTGCACTGGTTTCAAGAAGCCTATATGGGGCACAATCCAAAACTCCCTTGTGGAGAGAAGACAAACAGATTGCACTTGTTTTCGTAATGCATTTTCCACCTCTACCAACCCACTGTCAGTTGTACAGTATGGGCCGCCAATGTACATATTATAAATACCTGTAACATCAGTTTAAAGGTTATTCCTGTTTAGGGAAGCTTTTAATGTTTAATAGGTTATTGTATTTTAGTGTTTTGTTGGAAGCCGCCCAGAGTGGCTGGGGGGACCCAGCCAGATGGGCAGGGTATAAATAATAAATTATTATTATTATTATTATTATTATTATTATTCCAAATATCTAGGACTGCTATTGTGCAATGGTTATACTGAACCTGGGATGTTGAACCTTGAAGAAATCCGGACCTCAGTGCTCTGGCACTGAGCTATGGCTCTTCTCTGTAATGTGTGCTAAACTTAGGGTATCTGGGTAATTCTTTTTGATCACAGTTCTTAAGAGAATTGATGAATTTTTCTACTCCACCACCTTCTCCACTTGCTTGTCTTTCACAGTCTTATTACATAACATTCTTAAATCTCAAGAAACAACATGTTGTAATAACACCATATAGGTAAATAGAACCACGTTTTCCCCCTTGAGGATGTTTCCTCTAAGACAATATTCATAAGTATATCATATACAGTTACTGGATACATGCTGACTCTGAATTTGCTTACAAGGAAATTTATTGACATTCAAGCAATTATTATTCTAAAAGTCACACAGGGAATTGTATTTCTTCAATTAGGTGAGAATTCTAATTAAAATAAATATGGAAAATAAGGAAAATACTCCCGTCAACTAAGAATAGGCAACTGCAGTGCACCAGGCAGCAGGGTCCGATTTGGTGACAGCCCAATTTAAAATAAATGTGGGAAATCAGGAAAACAATTTACAGCATTAAATCTCTATGCTATCTCACTCTGCTCATATTCTCTCTTTCAGTCACCCTTCTCTCTTTGTTTGATCAAACCGCCTGGCAAGTCAGAATCTCATTCTCTTTATTTATCTGTCTAAATTTCTTGCATTTCCCCTTCTTACAGGATCTAATGGAAAGGCTTGTAAACAACTGGGAGGCCGTTGCATTCCTTTCGGGTATGAACACTATTGCAACACTAACGAATACATTAAACCTTCCGACTGTGTCCACTCTTACGTGTGCTGTGTGAAAGGAAAGATTTGTAAACGACGGGGAGGCAATTGCATTTCTGAGAAGGAAAAATGCCCCAGCAACGAATACATCAGCAAAACCGACTGTGACAGTGGTCAAGTGTGCTGCAAGAAATGATGTGGAGCTCCAGGCCAGTGCATGTTTCTTATCCTCGACTACCTGAAAAGAAGAGATGGCTCTACAGTTGGGTTAGCCAAGAAAGCTGATTTCTGCTCAACACAGATAAAGCAGTATATTCCACTCATTAAAAACATGTCAAAAATGCCGGTGTGAAACTCATTTTTAAAATATCTGTTAAAAGATTTGAGTCCATCCCAATTACATTTTAGAATATTCCTGATGTTTCCTGCTCAGCTTTGAGCTTTCTCAAAATCCAGGTGACAATTGTTGTGGTCAAGAAGCTTCCAACTGCATTTTGGATTAGCCGTCTTAGCAAAATAATTTTCAAAGGCAACTCTGAGCAACACGCTACTGTAGTCCAATTTGGAGACTCTGAAAGTGTGAATGATCATGGCTAGTGTTTTGATCCAGAAAGGACCATGGCTGAAAGATTGTCCCCAACCACCTGATGTCACTTATATCCCCAGTGACACATCGGGATCCAAGAGGGCCTTTGAGCTGGTCTGAAAGGGTTCAGCCATAAACAGAGATTACTCCACGTCCTTGGCTAGATGAGTACTGAGACAGGTGCAGAAAAGAATCAATGACTTCTGAGCACCAGAATTGCATGGAACTCATGGTCCTTCCATGCACACAAAACCACTCCTGTTTAACCAAACAAGTCAAATATATTTATTGCACCAGTATCACTTAGGAGTCCGAATCCCTGGTCAATCTCCTGCAAAGCATCCAAATCCAGTAGATCCATCCTATCTTCTACCCTCCCACCGCTCAATATCTCCATCTTTACCACACTGAGTTCCAATTTAAACCCTTATCCATTTCATTCACAATTCAAGGCACCAGCGTAGAACATTCACTGTTTCTCCTCAGGTGCAATGAGCGTTGTCAGGGGATGGGCAACCTTCACCAGAAGCTTCTTGTTCAGACAGGTGATGCCCTGTCCAGACTGGACATCTAAATGTATTGCATCCATGTTGTGGAAGACATGAACCTTTTAAATCCTTGAAATGGAAAATATATCACAACATTCTTCCAGGGCTTCACATGGTCAGGCACCCCTTGGAGTCTCAATAATAGCAGTTGGGACCTCGGTTAGTTGTGGCATGGCACAACAGCTTTTGCCTAGCCCAACAAAGATCACTGAATAGCATGACCAAATTCCCTAATCTCCATTGCAGCCAAATACTCCCACAACCCAGTCCAGTTATTTGGGACAATCTCCCACTGTTCCCCAATGAGACTCTCGTTGTACTTATTGCTTCTCGGAAAGTTCCTTCACTTTAAAAACAAACAAGAACCATTTGTGTTGCCTCCCTCTTGCTGAAGTGCAAATCTGGTCTCTCACGAGTACCATTAACTGTTGGAGATTCCATTCCACCTTTTGGTTCAGACATGGAACTGTAGCATGTCACATGTCTGTTTACATTCCAGCACTGTTTGCTGGAGCAAGAGGAACTTCCGTTGTGTTGCTTTTGCTTCTCTGTCTCTCTCGGAAGGACGGCAAGTAGAGTCGACACGTTTCTTTGTCCTGATTTATGTTTAACAAATCCGTAGTTTGTTTAGTATGTCTTCACATGCCTCTGTTGGCTATTTGCAGTGTAGTAGCGCTGCAGAGAGCTTGCTGGGGAGACCATGCATTAAAAAGGGACTCAAAAATAACTTAAACAAGGTTTTAATAACAAAACCAAAAACTCCATTTACACTAAATACATCAACAACAAACCATGACCCAACCACCAACCCATCCCCCAGGGTAATGGGAGAGCTAGGTGCTGCTCCTTATATACTACACCCAATTGCTGACACAGCTTAATTAACACAACTCAGCAGCACCTGCTGTAAAGCTGGGTCTCGTTATCTTGCTCTGGCCCTTGCTCTGGCCCCTTAAAGACATACACATCAGGTGGAACAATGATGAACCTTTACATTTAAAGAAACCATTCAACAGCCTCAAGCCTTTCATTGTGCAGTTTTGCTCTTCTAAATAAAGTTTGCCCATGTCAGCAGACTTGGGTCACTGATTTATGTCACACCAGAGGTTGGAGGATCTTCGCAGTGTGACAGCAGGAAGCAGACGATTCAGCTGGGGGCTAGCCAACTGGCCGTTTGACCCCTGGATGCCAACATTAACTACTCATGAGTCAGGTGGAAGAAAGAATCCAGAAAATTTATTTACTGCAGTAAAGAGTTTCAGCATGATTGATTCACAAAGGTTGGAACCCCACACCAGAGCCCGGGGTGGGGGGTTATAGGTTTATTCCACAAAGCATTAGCATCCAGGAGATTAGCCAAGCCTTTGCCAAAACTCAACAACTTTCTGTAAAGCAGCAGCTAGACTGGTCACTGGGGGCGGCCGCTCTTGAAAGACCTACACTGGTTCCCACTATGTTTCTGAGAACAATTCAAAGTGTTGGTGTTGACCTTTAAAGCCCTAAACGGCCCCAGCCCAGTATACCTGAAGGAGCGTCTCCACCCCCATCGTTCTACCCGGACACTGAGGTCCAGGACCGAGGGCCTTCTGGCGGTTCCCTCATTGCGAGAAGCAAAGCTACAGGGAACCAGGCAGAGGGCCTTCTCGGTAGTGGCACCCGCCCTGTGGAACACCCTCCCATCAGATGTCAAAGAGATAAACAACTACCTGACATTCAGAAGACATCTTAAGGCAGCCCTGTTCAGGGAAGTTTTTAATGTGACATCTTAGTGTATTTTTGGTTTTTGTGGAAGCCACCCAGAGTGGCTGGGAAAACCCAGCCAGATGGGCGGGGTACAAATAAATTATTATTATTATTATTATTATTATTATTATTATTATTGGAAATCTCCAGTTTCTTTCAATGCTTTGACCTCCCAGTTTTAATAATAATAATAAAACTGTTGTGCCAATGACTTACTGTGTCATTTTTCATAAATGCAAACAGGAAGGAAGAGGTGGTTTCTGTCTTTCATTGCTCTCTTGCAAGTTTGGGGAAAACCACCAAATTGCCTTGTGTGCCCGGGATTTATTCCCTTCACTCCTTATAACTGTATTTCCCCCATTTTCCCCGAGAAACTGGAAACAAGGAAACAATAGCAAGATTATTAAAAGAACACAACAAATAGATTGTGCATGGAGAGATACATAATTTTTCCTGTGCTATCGACCCGGTGTTAACCAGGCAATTCCTTGCAGGAACAACTGCCGTGGAATGGAGGTAGTGGCCAGGAGGGTGGGGGAAGGAAATTTGCTCCTGATCACCAAAACCGCAACTCTCCTATTTTAGTAGCCAAGAACACATCAATATCTATCTGAAGGAACGGTGAGGTTTTCATGCTCTGAGAGCATCCACAAGTTGGCTGCTCTCCCAACTTTAGGAGATTTCATAACAAAAACAAGCTGCTGGGTCAGATCCATATTCCATCTAACTCAGTATTGTTTTCATTTTTCTTTATTTGTTTTATTTAATGCCCCACAAAAGTTCCAGGGCAAGTTAAAAGATTTCAAAAATATGCCCCCTTTCTGGAGTCATCCTAGGCACTTCTGTTTTTTTTTTTTTTTAATAGTATTTATTAAGATTTTAAGTTTACAAAAAGGCAAAAGAAAACAGAAAGCAAAAAAAAAAACCAGATTAGACAATAGTAAAACAACACATCACAATAAAAAACAAGGAAATAAGAACACTTAAAAACAACATACAAAAAAAAGACAAAAAAGAAGAAGATAAATCGAGCCTTCCCATAACTTATCTTTCATATGCTTGTTTCCCTGACCTCCTCACACCTCCCTTTTTTGTATTCTAAGTCAATTATCCATTTCAGCAAATCCTTTCCCTCTCTTCAAAATTCTTATCCTGAAAATTTATCTTGATCTTACTATAAGTTTACTTTTCCTCTTTTTACCAATTAACAGTCTATTTTTCTTAAATCTTTGAAACATTTTTGCTAAAATCACATAGATTCATTCCAACATCATTCTAACATTCATTAATTTTACAATGTTTCTGTAAATAGTCTTTAAATTTCTTCCAATCTTCGTCCACCGACTCTTCTCCCTGGTCTCGGATTCTGCCAGTCATTTCCGCCAGTTCCATATAGTCTATCAACTTCATCTGCCATTCTTCCAGAGTGGGTAGATCTTGTGTCTTCCAATACTTTGCAATAAGTATTCTTGCTGCTGTTGTGGCATACATAAAGAAAGTTCTGTCCTCTTTGGCACCAATTGGCCGACCATGCCCAGGAGAAAGGCCTCTGGTTTCTTCAGAAAGGTATATTTAAATACCTTTTTCATTTCATTATAGATCATCTCCCAGAAAGCCTTAATCCTTGGGCATGTCCACCAAAGGTGAAAGAATGTACCTTCCGTCTCTTTACATTTCCAGCATTTATTATCGGGCAAATGATAGATTTTCGCAAGCTTGACTGGTGTCATGTACCACCTGTATATCATTTTCATTATATTCTCTCTTAAGGCATTACATGCCGTGAACTTCATACCTGTGGTCCATAACTGTTCCCAGTCAGCCATCATAATGTTATGTCCAACATCTTGTGCCCATTTAATCATAACAGATTTCACCGTTTCATCCTGAGTGTCATCCTAGGCACTTCTGCACACAAGGCATGTGGGCCAGGTGAACCCACTGTAGGTGTCTTCAGCCCCCTCAATCACATACCCTCCAAAGCTATATATAACCCACCCATCTGGCTGGGTTGCCCCGGCCATTCTGGGCAGATTCTAAAACATATGAAAACATAATAAAACATTAAATATTGAAAAACTTCCCTATAAAGGGCTGCCATCAGATGACTTGAGGTTTGGATAACTCCATACCCTCCAACAGGGGTGCCAAGTTGAATAAAATATTGTGGGGACCCAGGTAAGCTCTGCCCCACATTGATTGATCACGTCTGGTACGCAGGCTGAGACCCTATCTGCCCATGCACTGTCTTGCCAGAGTGGTGCATGCTCTGGTTATCTCCCGCTTGGACTATGTGCAATGTGCTCTATGTGGGGCTAC